GCTTTGTTTGTATTTTAGGGAAGGGTCTACAGGGTGTTCAGGGTCTCACTACTAAATCGGACTCGTAGTGATCCGCCTGTTTTCAGCCTCCCAAGTGCTAGGATTACAGGCACGAACCACCAGGCCAAATCCCCTTATCCCTGCCTGTAAGCCAGGGATAAGGAGGTTGAGACAGGAGGACCACTACGAATCTAAGCTGCATAGAGAGACCCTGTAAAAAAATACATAAATATTTTTTTAAAATTTAAAACAAGAAATAATACATATAAGATGTATTACATTGTATGTCAAATTATATATATGGAAAATCTCCAAACATTTGGATATTAAACAATACAGTTCTAAATAATCTCTATAACAATTAAAGGTGGTCTGCCGGTTAGCTTAGTTGTTTAAGCACCTGCTCATGCAAACACAGTCAGGCACAGGATACCGAGGTTCAATCCCCAGCTCCACCTGCCTTAACAGACCTGCCCTTAAGGCAGCCTGAGCTAGCAAAAAAAAAAAAAAAAAAAAAAGTCCTATGACAATTACAAACACAAAACCACAGGGAAGAAAGTTTTAAAGAAAGTACTCCATACTAAGTGACAAAGCATATAAAATGTATGAAGTGCAGCTGGAGTTCTCTCAGGCAAATTAATAACCTAACACAACCGCTTCAGAAATGAAGGCCCAAATCATTGATGTCATTTGAGATTAAGCATCAAAATAAAGGAAAGTAGAAGAAATAGCAAAAATCAATTAGAGAAATAAAACAAAAAAGATCGAATTATATATACTAAAAGGATTTTACAAAGTGATAAATTATTATCAAGACTGAATAAAAAGAGAAGGAATGAGAGGGGGAAAAAGAGAAGGGAGATGGGAAAGAGAAGCCGCAAAATAGTGAGGAGAAAATGCACGGGAACTTACAGTACTCAAGATAAAAGTGATGATAGTACTAAATATTCCACAGGCAGGACAATAATTATAATGGAAAATCATAAACAACTATATGGTAACAAAATCAATAATGTAGTTCAATTAGAAAAATTCATTTAAAAATCCACTTACCATACCAACAAAAGAGGAAATACATAATTCTAGCCATAAAGTATTACGTTAAGTGAAAGCAATAAATATTGAGTCATTGACACTGATAAAGGATCTGCAAACTGCGGTACATGGTTATAGGATAAATCCGGAGAGTACTTGACTGAACTTATCCGATACAAAAGTTACATTTCTTGTTATATAGGACTGTTATATTTATCTTGGTCTTAATCATCCAGCAGAAAAGTATAAAAATAAGGGATATAAAGTAAAGCCATATTAATATGCTGAGCTGTGAAAGGCTCAAATCAACAACTTCTGCAGATAACCCACTACTACTGAGGACTGCTAGACTGTGTTGGACTATTTTGCAGAATTCATGCACCTATAGTATTTAGATGCCAATGGAATACCCATGTCTGACAGGAATAAACAAAAAAAGGGGATACAAAGGAAGGACCATTCTGTATCTATACAGAATAGTTTGGATAGATATACAGCTACTTTCACTTAATTCAATGAGAAGAAAGATTTGTACTAACAGTGTTTGGACAGGATATCCTGTTCTCATCTTTTACTATGAATAACCACTAAGAAGATAACAATATACAATGTATTAATTATTGAAACTGTCCTATTAATCAGTTTAGAAACTCTCTCATTGCAATTTGTTTCTGAATAAAATAAAAAAAAATTCTAAACACATTCATACTCCTCAAAAATACACACATCTATCTAGGCACAGATATCACTCTTGATTTCTAGAAAATATTAAGGCAACCCTAAAACAATTCTGAAAGAATAGAAAGGAGGAATCTCCATTTATGTAAAGCTAGCCACTCTGAAACTAAATCCTAACAAAGACATTAGAAAGAAAATAAAGCAAACACACTCAAAACACTCTCAGCCAACCTCCTTCATCCTCCTTCCTGGACACACGTGAACCATTCTTTACCAGACGTCAGGAAATCAGACGCAGCAACATGTGCATAAAAGATTACATGCCAGACCAAAGCAGGACTTCCGCAAGAATGCAAAGTTTATCTACCTTTGAAAGCCATTCAATTTGTACTAATTTAAAAAAAGAACACGATGATTTGAATTTACTCAGAAAAAAAAAGAATTTTACAACAATAAAATGAATGAGAGAACTTAGTAGTCACAAGACATAAAAAGAAGTATA